GAATAGAATAGAATAGAATAGAATAGAATAGAATAGAATAGAATAGAATAGAATAGAATAGAATAGAATAGGAATAGGAATAGGAATAGGAATAGGAATAGGAATAGGAATAGAATAGGTTCTTTACTGGCCAAGTGTGATTGAACACACAAGGAATTTGTCTCCAGTGCATAAGCTCACGGTGTACATATAAACAGCAAGTAAATACTTCGTAGTTACAATCATTAATCATAATTTAGAAACAGCACTTGATAAATCATAAGAAACCAATACGAGAAGATAGTAGGGAAGAAGAGAGCATGAGAAAAGGTGAGAAATAATACAGTGCTATGGGAATTAAGAGTTTAGCAGAGTGAGGGCACGGGTGGAAAAACTAGATTCGTGTCTAAGAAAACATCAGAACCACGATATAGCATTTCACCAAGGCTGCCATTAGTGGTGCCATCTTTATCAGAAACCAGAATGATGGAAGGACAGAACGACTGAAATCCTGATCTTCCAAAGAAACTATGAAAACGGTGCAAGGCTATTTTTTAATGGGCACTGGAGTACAGTAACACTTTTCCCTTTTGTCTCTAGTCCATAATCTTCATTCGTGATCGAAATGCCCGCGGCCAGGAGGTCGCTGCCTACATTGATTATGCCCATCGTTTGAAGGTGGATGAATTTGATGTCTATTTCAGCGGAAAAAAGAAACTTTTCCCCAGGCGCAGCGATCTGAGGTTGGTGAGTCATCTTCTGCCCACATTGGAAATCTCAACTGTTTGTAGTCATATTAGAATCCTTATCTTAAGGGTGCTTTTTCAAAAGCCAATTGAGCTTTCTTGGCGTTTCTTCCTTGAAGAGGTTTCACTTTTCATCTGAGAAGCTTTTTTAGTTCTGGGTGAATGATGAGGAAAAGAAGGATTTATTTTCTTCGCAGTCATCTGGTCTTCTAGCTCTCTGAAGATTGGTAGGTATTTACATACATACATACATACATACATACATACATACATACATACATACATACACATACATACATATAAATTTTGCACTGCTTAAGTTCAACACTATTACCGTAGTCTCCCAAAAAATAAGACCCGGTCTTATATATTTTTTTGCCAACAAAAAAGGCACCAGTTCTTATTTTCAAGGGGGTGTCTTACCCTGTTATTGGCTGCAGAGGGCTTTCTGGAAGGCATCTCAGCTGATAAAAGAGTTCTGGATCGATCTGGAGCTCTGTTATCAGCTGCAGAGGGCTTTCCGGAAGGGCCTCTGGCAGCGAAACAGAGGCTGGGGGGTGACATGCGCGAGTGGCAGCAAGCGGCCACGGAAGAAGTGGGCTGGCAAGGCAAAGCAGGTATGGGGTGTGCAAGGCCTGGTAAATAGGGCAGCACCGCCATCCCCGTCCCATCCTAACTTAATTTTTACTTGTGCGCCTTGCTCCAGTCCCTGCACCCCAGAGCGGGATGGGTAATTAGGGCTTATTTGGGGGATAGGGCACATGGGTAAAAATCAAGCTAGGACTTACTTTTGTTGTAGGTTGTATTTTCGGGGAAACATAGTGTGTTCCCACTTCTTTGCTTCTTCTACTTTAGTTGTGCAATTCTCAACTCAGAAATTACAAATCAAAATTGATGTTAACACCCGCGGGTCACTCACGGCAATGCTAGTGTGAGTGGGGGGTTTGTGCTCACAGGCACACACTGGCCAACCACTCACACAGCCCAGTGGCCAATAGGCCACAGCCCAGTAGTGAGTCACGGCCCACAGGTTGTGGACCCCTGCTTGAGACTGTAAGGTGGTCCTTGACTTACCACCACAATTGACCCCAAATTTTCTGCTGCGAAGAAAGACAGTTGTTAAGTGAGTTTTACCCCATTTTATGACCTTTTTTTGCCACCTTCGTCAAGTGAATCACTGCAGTTGTTAAATGAGTAACACAGCTGTTAAGTGAATCTGGCTTCTGCACTTATTTGGCTCGTCAGAAGGTTGCAAAAGGGGATCATGTGACCCCGGGACGTTGCAACCGTCGTAAATATGAGCCGGTTGCCAAGCTGGTCCGAATTTTGGACCACGGGGATGCTGCAACAGCCCTTAAGTGTGAATAATGGTCCTAAGTCCCTTTTTCCCAATGCTCATCCCTTCGAAGGGTCACTAAACCAACGGTTGTAAGTTGAGGACTACCTGCACTGTTGCCTTTTCCATGCCTGCCTTGAGCTTGGAGCAGCTGAATGCTTGGAGCAGCAGGGTCCTTAATCTTACCCTTCCAAGTTTTGTCTTAGAAGCCAAAAAGGTGGTACACCCCTGGGACAACCCCCCTCGCTGTGTTCTCTCTCTTAATTGCTTCTGTTTGTTGTATTGAGATTAAAGAGGAACCCAGGGCACCCTTGTTAACATCCCTGCAGTGTTCCTCTGAGCTTGGAAGAGGTTGCCTTTCACGTCTCCCTAGCCAAGGGCTTGCCAAGACTCATGTCTCATTCCTGTGTCAGCAGAGCGGTTCTCTCTGACATATTCAGGTAAGTGGTAGCAGCCAAACTCACCTCCATGCTGCGATATATTCTTGGCCGTGTGGCTGAGCCAGCAAACCTGGAATTTGAAGGAGTCCCTTAAGTCCGACTGGCTGTTCCAAGGTGCCCCAACTCCCAAAATATAATCCCACTTCCCAAAAAGCCAAATTCAGCTGGGGTGAGGCTGAAATTAAAGAGCGCAGCAGCGAATATGTTCCTGGCATGCAAAGCAGGAGATGGGTGTCGTGACTTCAAGGGGAAGGGGGGGAAATTGTGTTTTTTTTCCCCTTCCTTGCCTCCGTTCACATGCTGCTTTTGGCCTAGGCAGGTTTCCGATTAGGGTAGGGCTGTCAAATGCAATTTCATTAAGGGCCGCTTCAGGGTTGTGTTTGACCTTGGGGGCCGGGAATGGACATGGCCACCTCAAAGTCACTCATGGCACCCGTGGTGGCTCGAGCGCTCTGCCAGGGAAAACAGGCGCCCCAGCTCCGTTTTCAGCTACGACGGCCTCCTGCCATCCTCTGCCAGCAAAAACGGAGCTCAAGAAGGCCGCGAGCTTCGTTTTCAGCTGTGGCGGCTTCCTGCAACCGTCTGCCAGTGAAAACAGAGCTCGCCAAAGGCATTGCGAGCCCGGTCCTTTGCTGTTTCTAGGTCAGCCGCACGGGCCAGATCTAAGCACCCTGTGGGTCCGATCCAGCCCACGGGCCTTGAGTTTGACACCCCTGGATTGGGTGCATGGTTAGAAGACAAAATGGAGGCCAGCTTTTCACAAACTGGCATTTCCCCTATATAGGGAGGGTCTTCAAAAATTTTAACAAATGGGTTCTCTGCCAAGTTGCTGGGTGGGCGTGACTTAGTCGGTCTCCTGCACCATGGTGGGAGGGGTGTTTTTGCCCTCCGTGGGCTCCGGAGGCTTTCCTCGAGCTTCTAGGAGGGCGAAAATGGCCTCCCTGGTCTCCGGAGGCTCTCTAGAAGCCAAAAACAGGCCCATTTCCAGCCTTCCCCAACTTCCGGGAGGCCTGTTTTTCACCCTCCCTGAGCCTCCATGTGCACCCTGCACTTACCTGCATCCAAAACAGGCTTCGTGGGGACTCCTGGGAGTGGAGTGGAGGGGTGGGCGGGGCCAGCCAGGAGTGGGATTTGGGGGTTCTCTGAACTGCACAGAATCTTAGCTAGAGGATCTCCCGAACCCCTGCGAACCCCCAGCCCTGCATATCACCCCTAGGCCTTCTTTTCGTTAGCATTTCAACTAATTGGAATATGCCCTTTCTATTTCCATTTCTTGCTATATTCCATTAGCAAACAGCAGCCATTGCAACTAAGACCTTTTTTTTTTAAATAAAAATCAGCCAGAGTGAAAATGTTTCAGCTAGGTAGCCATGAGTATGAAGATCCAGATTGTTGGGGGCAATAGGGTGACTCTGTAAACCACTTAGAGAGGGCTGTAAAGCACTGTGAAGTAGTATATAAGTCTAAGTGCTATTGTTATGTACACCAAAAAAGAGCTTAAGGACCAGCTTTGGGGTAGATTTATTTATTTAAAAATTTTATACAGGGAGTTCTTGACTCATACAGTTTATTTGGTGATGGTTCGAAATTACAATGGCACTGGAAAAAAGTGACTTACAACTGTTTCCCACACTTACAACCATTGTGGCATCTCCATGGTCACCCAATCAAAATTTAGATGCTTGGAAACCGACTTGTATTTATGACAATTGCAGTATCCCGTGGTTAAGACAATCCCCTTTTGACGTGCAGAAGCCAGATTCACTTAATGATTGTGTTACTTACTTAACAATTGCAGTGATTCAGTTAACAAAGGTGGCAAAAATGGTCATAAAATGGTCATGGGCTAAAACTCACTTAACAACTGTCTTGCTTAACAACAGACAAGCAAAGTCAAAGGGAGAAGCTAGATTCACTTCACAGCTGTGTTCCTAACTTAACAACTGCAGTGACTCACTTACCAATGGTGGCAAGAACAGTCATAAAATGAGGGAAAACTCATTTAACAACTGCCTCGCTTAGCAACAGGAATTTGAGCGCTGTATGTTGAGCACTAGCTGTATAGCCAGCTATCTTTTAGGCAGCGTAACTCCCAAACAACAGAAAAGCAATGTTAAAAACCCAGTGAAAACTTTATTTTAAAAAAAACCACAAGTGTTCCTGGTAACCACATAGCACATTCCTACAGCTGCACAAGCAACTCCTCCAAGTTCCCGCTTCACCCCACCCCAGTGTTTGTGAGAAAATAGCTGTTGGAGGCTTAGGGGAAGGTAAGAGAAAAGGAAATCATTGCAGAGAAAATCTGCATTAACTGGAAGGCACATAATCAACTCATCAGTTGCACAGAAACAAATATGCATTTAATTGCGGGTTTTCTGCCTTGCGCTGATACACACAAACAGATTTGCACACAGAACAAGAGAGAGAGAGAGAGAGATTATTGAGGTCAAAAGGTAGCATATGGACTGCAGGCTCATCTCTTTTCTTTCAAGATAAAAAGAGGAGATTCTCCTTTGAAAGACGCTCTGCGGATTTCGTGAGCACACCACCTTACAGTTTTCTCAGTCTTTCTGCCTGTTTTTCTATCTCCAGGTAGTCCTCAACTTAAAAGCACAATTGGGACCCGAATTTCCATTGCTAAGCCAGGTGTGGGTGAAGTGAGGGACGCCTAATTTTAATGACCCTTTTTTTTGCCATGGTTGTTAAGTAAAGCCTTGCAGTTTCTTAAATGAGCCATGCGGTTGTTAACTGAATCTTCCCCTCATTAGCTTTGCTGGTCAGAAGCTGGCTGGGAAGATCAGAGATGGCAATCACGGGATCATGGGATGCTGCCCTGTTCATGAATGATGTTGTAAGTCACTTTTTTCAGTGCCATTATAATTTTGACTGTAGAAAAATGAATGATTGTAAGTCAAGAAATATATCTGCCCATATCTATCTATCTATCTATCTATCTATCTATCTATCTATCTATCTATCTATCTATCTATCTATCTATACATACTATCTATCCATCTTATCTATCTATCATCTCTTATCTATCATCTATCTTATCATCTATCTATCTAATCTATCATCTACCTATATCTATCTATCATCTATCTATCATCTATCTATATCTATCTTATCTATTTATTTATCTTATCTATCTATCTCTTATCTATCATCTACCTTATCATCTATCATCTGTCTATCATCTATCTATCTATCTATCTATCTAT